GAACTTTCTAACACTGCATGTTTTGGCAAAGTAACTCATTCCTCATTAATTTAACATGCCATTATATTATATACTAGCAGAGAAGCCATCTGTTACATGTTAAACAGAGCAAATGCAGTTTAATCTGAATTTTTAGGCAATCAAACCTACTAAGGTTTGGGGGGCATAATTTAAGCCCTACTTATTCTAAATATGAAATCTCATAGTTTAATTTGAATGAAAATTAAATCTCATTTCTCAAACCATGAAAGGAGAAAAATATGTAATAACTACACTTTTTGAGTAAAAAGGGAAACTATGCATGGATTTATTGAAAAAGATTTAAGGTAGTGAGAGAACCAGTATTTCCTTATTAATTATTTGACATTTATAGTAACACTAACAGTGATACATTCTGCTGTAGAATATTTTATAATTTTTATTTATTAGAATAGTTTATTATATGTTTTATAGAACACAATAAAAAATACTGATCACAAAAGAGCATTCCAAGTATAATTTGTAAATGATTTGGGTTTAACCAGTCACTCTCTGGAATCCTAAAAAGCTTCCTTTAGGAAAATCATATTATAATCATAATATTGCTTTTTTCATTAATCGACCTATTTCAAATATTATCCTAATACAAATGATAGCAAATATGGTCATGTTGACTTCCACTTTCTCAAGCACCCTTTCCAATACCACCAAGAATGATCACCAGTAATTGTTTGCATTAGAAACCAAAGGAGGTAAGATATTGCTGATTGTCAGGTAATCTGTGGTTCTTCCTCATCATGACTGGAATACATGCCTACATCAACACCTCCATCGAAAGCCTCCCAGTTTCCAAAGCTCTTTCTTCCCACAAGTCTTGTCTTACCACACACCAACTGACATTTGATTCTTCAATTACTGACCTTTAATAACTTCATATTTTCTTTCCACCAAAGGACTAGAAATTCCTCAAGGGAACAGTACAAGAAACACTGCTCCCAGAACATACAAAGTCCTGGAATACAGGCCTGGCTGGAGGGCTGTGCAACCTCATTCCATCTTAAGAGTGCTCGTACAAGAAATGCAAAGAACCAGACCTTCATTATATGCTAATGTGCATTTAATAATTTTATTTTTTTACTATGCATAAATAGAGGTATGTGGATGTTAAAATGGTTTAGTAATCTGAGTCTTAAAGGGTACCAGTTGATCCTGTCAAATTCACTTTGCATAAAAATTAACATTAAAATATAATGTTTAATGAAATTAAATGTGAAACATAACTCTTTCTTGCCAGCTTTTTCCAAATGTTACAAAGTTATTCGATAAAACCTATTAAAAATTGCTCCTTAGCTGTTCTGAGGAAGTTTTAATACTTTATACTTTAATACTGAAGTAGTATACTAGGTTATAAATGGAAAAGAAAAAGGAATCTTGAATTTCAAAACATCACTTACAAGTTGGTTATTTGGAATTTAGGTTCAGAGGTCAATTCCAAAAGGCAATTTGACTTCTATGCACTTGAAATGAAAATTGTATAAAAGCAATACAAGTAAATTGAAAATAGTAAAGACAACCACTGCAATTCTAATTGAGGACATGTAGCAGTCTACCTTTTCCCAAGCCCCCTTCTCTCTGTCAAAACAAAAAAATATAAAGGACTTGCTCTAGTTTCTTTCCTCCATCAAACTTCCCTGACTCAAAATTTATAAATTTGGTCCAGGCATGGCCCCTCTGCCATACCTCCAAGAAGAAAGCAGTAAATTACGACTCTTTTCATCCAATTATTAGACTATGAATGCCTTAACAATTTAATAATCCCAATACCTAAACAGTGCTCCACACAGTGTGTGGAATGAATGAAAGCAAAAGGAACTTTAAGCAATATAAATATGCATCTAGATTGGGTATGCTCTGTGCAAAGATCTGAAATCCAAAATGCTCCAAAATCTGGAACTTTTTAATTTAGGATTTTAAGATTAGCCATGCTCAACCAGTGAACTATGCAAATATTAGAAAGTCCAAAAAACTCTGAAATTTGAAACACTTCTGGCCCCAGAATTTGGGGTAAGGGACACCTTAGCTGCATCACACAATGCTTTCCCTGGAAAAGCTATCAAATGAGATGGGAGAGAAGATAAACATCAAAACATCCCTGGCTCCACACATTCTGATGACCATATGTCATGACAAGCATCATGATGGTTTCCTTGGAGGATTAAAATCTAACCAATCCTAATCCATTCATTCCTTCAAAAATGCTCACAAAGCCCCCTACTGTGTGACTTGAAAGGACAGGGAATGAAGGAATTTGGTAGGAGAATAAGGGATAGTTGAGGAGAGAAGGAAATTTTTCCAGTAAAGGGAAGGAAAAAAAACCAAGTGTGTTGTTAATGAGAGATGCAAAACAGGCACAGAGATACAAAACAGAGGCACATCCTTCACACACCCCTACAGCCACTACCTCAGGATTCTGGCAAGAACTAGATGCTGGACCCCTGAGTATGCTGGTCCTACCTTGGCACAGCTTCACCATCTGCCAAATGAACACATCTATACCTATGTTGACTAATTGTAACTAGGTATGCAGGGGCACCATCTGAGAAAGGCCTTGGAAATTAAACTTCTCTGTGAACATACAATAATGACATACTATAAATATTTCTGTAGTTTAAATGAAATGTGCCATGAGTTTTCTACTATTTTAAGTGTTTTGTTTATGAGCACCAAACAAACAGTATATGCTCAATAAAATACTGACTGAAACCTGAAAACCAACCAGTAGTATAAAGCATTACCATTTTAAAAGGAAATAGTTTTATAATTTAAAATGCTCATTTGACTATAAATTTGAATTTTTATAAATGATCTTTTCTTTAAGAAGAAATTTCTACCCCTGCATATGAAGCTGATTTATCAATTATTACAAAATGAAAATAAAACATTTATTATCAATCTTGTATAAAGAATTGCACAAATTACTTATTCTAGTACAGTACTCTTTCCTTCCTTTTCTGAATTTTATTCTGAATGCTACAGAATAAAATCATCTAGACAGCTTCAATTCACCCACAGTCTCTAGACCTCTATAGTTAGTTCAAAACATCTCCTTTATAAAGCCATTTTTTTCTTTATGGCTCTTTATGGGAGGGGAAGATAACTGAGAAAATGTAAAACCAAACTATTTCAGTTACATGTTTCTATGCTTAATGACTGTTTAACCCCTCAGTATATATATTAAATAGTTTAAAGTATGATTTGATGGTTATAGGAAAGAGTTTAGAGATAGGAAATGACACATTTAAATACTTACAAAAAATTAAGAGTTACTTACATGGTAACACTAAAATAGTAGGTAAATTTTTAATTTTCTAAGACCTAGATTTAATTTCAGATTCAATTTCATATTATGTATTCTTGGCACTACATTATTGTCCCTCGTTGAAAAGCAAATTGAAATTTGCAACTTTAGGATGTGTCTTTGGCAAAGCTAAATCCCATTTTGAAAGTGCCAAATATCTCAAACTGGTGCAACCTGTCTGAGGCTTGCAGTAATAAAATATGCTATGTCAAGCTTTATTCTTGATATTAAAGGCTATAATTGTTTTGAGAAGACAATGATTGTCTCTTATTTTCGTTCCTCTTTCTTCCTCTCAATCCATACATACATTCACATTCAAAACACACACACACACACACACACACACACACATACACACACACAAACACACTTACTTTTAAAACTAATTCATATTTCAGTATGAAAGCCAAAAAATTTATAAGAAAATTACAAAACATTTTCTGTACTTATAATACCATAACATTTTTAAGCAATCACTTTTGTACTTACTATAGCATCTTTGATATAATAACAAAATTTCTAAAACAAATGTTATTTTTTGTTTTTAATATAGAAGTTACTCATATAATCAAAATTGTACAGATATAATTACCACTACAAAACATTCATAAAAAAGAGAAGCCATATTTGGCCAAAAATAAATATATTTAATACAAATGCAAATATGTACAATTGTTAAATAAAATATACAAATATTTATTCAATTTCAGGAGAACAGATTTGACCTCACATTCCTTTAGAGCCTATTTTATTTTCTCATAAATATACCTGAATCCCAAGTAGTCTCTGTGTTAAAAAGAGAGCCATTTTAAGGGCTCGGTGGTAGAGCACTTGCCTATAATGCAGAAGGCCCTGGCTTCAATACCTGGCAGTTCCAAAGACTTTTTAAATTAATTTTTTTAAAAAACTGTATTTTAGAGACTAAAAGAACAACATATAAAAGGAACCATCCTGTAGAAATCTTTGCATAGAATTAAAAGTACAGTGTGTTTGGAATTCCAGGAATCCAAAATTTAAAATAGTGACTTTCAACTCTTACTCTCTTTTCTATAGTTTAGATCAAAAATTATTTTACTACTGAAAATTTCATAAGGATAAATGTTCTACTGGAGTTTATAACTATAAAAGAAAACAAACCAATTATTCTTTTCCAACTCAGCATATACAAAATTTAAGACTTTTTTTGGTAAAATGCAATAATGTGAATATGCCTATGAAATATCTATAAATAATATTTTATTATCTTTATTAATAATTTTTATGGTTTGAATACAGGTAATGTTCTCTAAAAGTCTGTGTTTTCAAGGCTTGGTCCCCCCAAGGTGGTGGTGTTGGGAGTTACTGTGGACCTTTAAAAGATGGGGCCTACCAGCAAGTTCTTATATCACTAGGGGCAGGCCTCTGAGAGGACGATGGGACCCCAGTCTACTCCTCTAGGGATACATGCATGTGTGTTTGTGCTGAAGTCAAGAATCAATCTTTACTATTCACTTCTTCTCATTCTAACTTCATCTTTTTAAACAGAATGAAATTGACAGACTCAAAATACTAACATGAGCCTATATTTTGCTTTCCAGAATGTATTAAATGCTTGTTCTTAGTAATAAGGAGCTAGAAAAAGTTATTTAAAATTAATCCACATTCAGTCTGAATGAGATCTTACCTTCTATTTTATTGTTTTTCCTCTTCAGCCATTTTTCTACTGTCTCTGCACTGACACTTTCAGACACAAACTCATCTAATACCTGGGGGTGAAGAGAAAGATACGCCTTCACTTTTTCATCTGTCAAACCTGTAAAAGAATTGAGAAGAACAAAATTTACCTATATGACATCTTCATATACATGAAATAGACAGTAAATGACATCATGCTAAGATCCGGTAACCTCTAACCTATCGCAGATAGGGTTGGCAAACATTGGAATGGGGAGATTTTTGCTTAATGAATAGAGTGTTTCTGTTTGGCATTAAAGCACAGCTTTGGAAGTATGTGGGTGATGACTGCACAGCATCAAGAATAAAATTAATATCACTGAACTGTACATTTGAAATGGTTAAAACAGCATTTCTATAAGATATCACATTAAAATCCAGTAAAAAAGAATCTTAAGTTGGAACTTTAGTGGTTTTAAAAAAGACATCATGCTACACGTCTATTTTCTAACAGTAAGTTTTAGTGCTCTCCATGAACCAATGTTGTGCTCTAGTGTGGTACGTGAAGCCTTAAGATATATTTGTTTTTTCAGTGAATAATTATCTCAGATTCAATATGACTAGCAATAGAAGCAAAGAGGAGAACCTAGCACTGAACCATTATAGGTGCCGAGAAAAGTTTAGTGAATATATTCCATCTTTTAGTGCCTTTCACCACAAATTCCTTCTTTTTCCTCATGAGCACTAAACTCAACGGTACAACCAACAACATTCAATTCAGAATAATTTTTATATTCTATGTACAGAGTGAGATTCACTGAAATAATTTTCACAGTCACAGATAACAGCTGAATATACATAAGATTTTCAAACAAAATACTCATACATGTTTTCATATTGAACATATAAAACTACATGTTTTCAAATTAATCCCAAACACAAATAGGATATGAATAATTATTCTTGATGAGGATAACTGTTTTTTAATACTGCAACTTCTCTGTGGATTGTTTCAATAAATGACTGTCTTTAGGGACATTCTGGTGAAAAGGGCAATGGAAAATTGTGCTTCAAGACAGCAAAGGAGGAAAGGAAGCATGACTTGATGACTCTAGAGTAGGCTGTATGTTTTCCCAAACAGAAAGAATTCATATGTGTTAATTAATTCTGCTGGGAACTAAAGTCACAACTGTTAGGATTCTGCAACAGAATGGTATCTCTGAGAAGGCAAAGGATTTCTTTCAGCACAGTCAGTAGCTAGTTTCCACACCCAACCTCCAAACCTCCCTGAACACTGGAATAGAGGAAAGAAAAACATGAACCATCTATGTTTTACTCAGGGCAAAAGAGCACACTAATGATTCAATTCAGTTCGTGTGACACAGTAAAATTCAGTTTGAGAATTCTACAAGATACCAAGGACAAGAGATTAATTACATAAGAATGTGCTTGCCTGGTGAAGCACGTTGTGTGCCTTGATACAAAAGGCTGGTCACCTACCTGACCTTCAAGAAAACAATGCACATGTCATATTGTCTTTGACTGTGTCCGCCACAGTTGAACATACTTCCACACTTAACTCCTTGACACCTCCCTCTGCAACATTCATGGCACATCACCTTAGTTCGTATCCTAACATTGTAATTGACCTTGATTTCTGCTTCCTCCTCAACAGTCCATGATGATGACACTACAGTGTGTGCTGGAGTCTCCCTTCCTCCATCTCCTGGGCTTGGGTACTCTCGTATCACCTCAAGATGGAACATCTTGGTCAAAACTAAAGGAATCATTTTCCCACTTCTTCCCCAAAGAGATTTAACTCTCAATTACTATTTTTCTGTTTCTTTTACTCCCCAATTTCTCAGAAAACTAGGGTGGGAGGAGTTTCATCATAACCAACACATCTTTCCTTGTCATCTCCATTCCTCTCAATGCATTATCATAGAGTCCTATTGTCAAGTTAAATATCTGATAAAAGACTTCCATCCAAAACATACAAAGAACTAAAAACTAAAAATAAGAAGAAAACGGCAAATTTAAAAATGAGCCAAAAGTCTAAATAGACAACTCACCAAAGAAAATAAACACATGACAAACAAAGGTACAAAAAGATACTCATTTGCCATTAGTTGAAGTTAAAACAAGAAAAAGATTCTACTACTGACTTATTACAATGGCTGAAGTCTAAAAAACTGAAAGGAGTAACTGTTATATGGACATAGAGCAACAATTCTCATCTGTTGCTGATAAGAAGAAAAAATGTCACAATTACTTTAGGAGACTATTTGGAAGTTCCTCACTAAGTTAAATATCATCTTTCTGTATTCTCTAACAATCACACAACAATACCTGATCATATTAGGCAATATTCAACTGATATAAAGACTCATGCCCACATGAAACCCCTGTTTGAGAATGTTTCTGGACAGCTTTATTCATAATCAACTAAATCTGAAAGCATCCAAGCTGTCCTCTAATAAGCATCTACACAAACTGTGGTACATCTATATAACTGTGATCAGGCAATACAAAAGAAAACAGCTAACAAGTCATGAAATGACATGGAGGGGTCTTAAATACATCCAGGCTTGCAGGCTACATGTTATATAATTGCAACTACACACATTCTAAAAAGGCTAACATGTCCTTGCAGGACACGTTGGTGCATGCCTGTAATCCAAGCACCTTGGGAGGCACTAAGACAGGATGTGAGTTCAGTCAGTCTCAGAAAAAAGTGAGAAACTAAGCAACTCAGCGAGACCCTATCTCTAAATAAAATGCAAAATAGGACTGGGGATGTGGTTTAGTAGTCAAGTGCCATTGAGTTCAATCCCTGGTACCTAAAAAAAAAAAAAAAAAAAAAAAGCTAAACTACAGAGATAGTAAACAATCAATATTTGCAAATTTTCAAGGAGAAGGGAGAAAGACTGAATGGATGCAACACAGGAATATTTTAGGGTGATAAAAATATTCCATATTGTACTGTAATAGTGAATATGAGACACTAAGCCATTTGTCAAAACCCATAAAACTTTACAGCACGAAGACTAAACTATAATATGTATAATATGCACAGACTTTTAAAATCACTTTCAAGATCAGGGATAGAAAACAGAAACTTACAAAAAAAATCTAAAGTTACTACAAATGTAGGAAACAATCTCACTGAAGGGAATAGAAGGGATAAGGATAAGGTATTGATCAACATAACCCTGGGAATGAGCAGAGTCTGTAAGACCAAATGCAAAAACAAACAAACCAAAACAAACAAACAAACCAAAATCTCTGTGCTCTAGTGGCTAAAGCTGTTAGCCCAGTGGGGAAGAGCTAACAATTCGGACAGTATACATACCAGGACAGGAGGAGAAATTGAGATTGATCCACATGGTAACAGATTTGGAAATATCAATACAAACTCACGTGTGACTTCACAGATGCTGGTTTAATATTATATTGGTAGATATACACATATATATATACAATTAGCACACATATAAACTTTGTCTTGTTATATTAGTAGACAGGGCCTGGAGCTAACAATATCCTAGTATCAAGCAAAACATGCAGCCCACAGCTTCTGGTCTCCAATTCAGGTAGAGTATTCCTTATTCAAAATGCTTGAAAATAGAAAGGTTTGAATTTCAATTTTTTTTTCAGATTTTGAAATATTTTCATACACATAATGAGATATACTGGGATAAAACCTAATTCAAACATGAAACACATTTATGTTTCATATACACCTCAAATACGCACAGCCTGAAAACAATGTTCTATAGTATTTTAATATGCCTGTATTTTATCTGCATCCTGTTACAGGAGGTTAAGTGGGATTTTTGACTTGTGATTTCAAATCAGAGCTCAAAAAGCTTCAGCCTATACCTGACTTTAGGACACAACAAGAAAATACGTAAGATAAACTTGGAGCAGCCAATGATTAAAAACCTGTTACCATAACAATTTATTATTCCGATAAAGGAGATCTATAAATCCTGAAGCACTTATTGTTTCTAAGTATTGTATCTGAATATCCATAAAAGTTCTTTTTAAGAATAACTATCAAATCAGAGGCTAGAGAATTATTATTTTAAATAATTCTGAGGATAAATTTAGATGACTAACTTACAGATACTAAAAGACACATTGTTGGAAAAAGGAAAAGCAGTAGTTTTCAATTGGTAACTCTACTATCCTGACTATGGAGATGAATCCTTTTTTTCTGTGGTATTAAAGAAGCAGTCAGAACACATGGCAGAAGTCTAGCATGCTCTCCCTTTAACATGGAGGCACCTGCACCCTGGTCCCCAACTTCCATTTCATAGGCCCCTTACACTACCTTCACCCAGGTCTTCTTAACCTTAAGAGAATTCTTAAGGTTAAGAAGTAGGTGTCATATCAAAGTAGGTGTCATATCCTCAAGCTCTCTGTCCCATGCCCTGCCACAGAAAAGGGGAGAAAGTTAAATCCCCATTATCTCACTATAGCTAAATTCAGTTGGATTACAATAAACCTTATTTTTTAATTCTAAGGAATACATGACTAATAACCCTTTCTCTGACTTAACACACTAATATTCTCAATTTTATAATTCCCTCTATCTAGTCTAGGTATGAGCAGTAAGTAAAATCATTTTCACCTTTTTAAAGATTTAGTCTAATTCTTAAGTAGATTTTTAAAAATTCCATGTACAATTGTCAAAGAACAGCTGAACTGTGTTTAGCTAAAATTCATGCCCAATGAGGAGCAGATGACGGAATATAAAGATTTAGTTTGATACAAGATTTCTGCGGGCATTATTGCTGCTTAATCTGGATGTTACTAAATAAAACAGGTTAGGAACTTTTGGTTTATTTGTTTTTGCTTTGTTTTTGTCATATATGAACTCAGGAATTAATAATTAATATTTATGAAACCAGATAACAGTCCAACTTCAAACAGATGTTTAAGAAAAAAAATTCTGTAGCTATAAAACACTCCCTCCAATATGGCAAAGCTCCTATACTTGGTTTCCAGTGAGAAGAGACCCAGGGACTTCAAACTCTTGGCAGCCTGAGAGATCCTCATAGTCTCCACAAACCTCAGAGCTGAGTGTATATACAGATTACTTTAAAATCCTTATTAGTTTCAAGAGAATTCCAA